GAAGCAGCAGTCAAGAAATCAAATGATACATTGCATTGGGCAAATCTGCTGCAAAAGACCTCTTTAAAGTGTTGAAAAGCAAAGATGTCACCTTGAAGACCAAGGTGCACTTGACCCAAGCCATGGTGTTTTCAATCGCCTCCTATGCATGTGAAAGCTGGACGATGAATAAAGAAGACCGAAGAAGAATTGACTCCTTTGAATTGTGGTGTTGGAGAGGAATATTGAATATACCATCGACTGCCAAAAGAACAAACAAATCTGTCTTGGAAGAAGTACAGCCAGAATGCTCCTTAGAAGTAAGGATGGCAAGACTATGTCTCACATACTTCGGACATGTTGTCAGGAGGGATCAATCCTTAGAGAAGGACATCATGCTTGGTAAAGTAGAGGGTCAGTGAAAAAGAGGAAGACCCTCAATGAGATGAACTGACACGGGCTACAACAATGGGCTTAATCATAACGATTGTGAGGATGGCCCAGGATGGGGCAGTGTTTCGTTCTGTTGTACATAGAGTCGCTATGAGTCGGAACCTACTCGATGGCACCTAATATCAACAACAACAATATGCCTGTAGTTGGAGCCCTGATGGCGCAAAGGTTAAGAACTTGGCTGCTAAACGAAAGGTTGCCAGTTGGAATCCACCAGCCGCTCCTTGGAAACCCTGTGGGTCAGTTCTACTCTGTCCTATAGGGTCGCTATGGCAATGGGGGTTTTATGCCTGTGGTTATAATCCCATTTGGGAACGGGTTGTCTTTGTTATGTTAATGAGATAGTTTAGGGTAGGGTGTATCTTGAGTTAATCTCTTTTGAGATATAAAAAAGATTAATTAAACAAGTGAGCAGAACAGAGATAAGGTAAGAAAGATGTCAAGACACATGCAGCTCTCCAAGCAACCAGGAAGCAGAAGCTCAAAACAGACAAGGACCTTCCTCCAGAGCTGGCAGAGAAAGCCTTTCCCTAGAGCCAGCACCCTCCTAAACTGTGAGAAAATAAACTTGTTTGTTAAAGCCACCCACTTATGGTATTTCTGTTACAGCAGCACTAGATAACTAAGACAGACCTTGGGGAAGTTCCTTTCCTTTTCTGAGCCTCCATTTCCTGTTCCTCATGTGCAGGGGAGCAGGATGGGGGATGACCTGATGCTTTGGGAGGTCTCTTCCTGGTCTGAACATTCTGTTCCCTCCCCTGCAAAGGGACCCAACATTGTGCATGGAGGATGGGGCTGCAGCTTAAACCTGCTGTTCAGAGTAAAAATCGAGTCCTCATCTTCCCCATCCTCCTTCCCACTCCTCCATTTCCTCCTTCTTCCCCATCCCCATCCTGTCTCTTGGGGCCTGTAATCAGTGAGACGTAAAATGAGAAAGTATCAGGAACCAATAAAGCATGGCGACCAGCTGGGGCAGCTTCTGCCCGCCCGCACTGCCGGCCTCACCTGAAAAAGAGTAATGAAATCTCTGTGTATTGACACGGAAAGACGTGCCCAGGATGTATGGTTGAGTCATAAAAGCAGGTGACCGGATCTTACCTATAAAATGACCCCATTTCTGTTATTATATAGCAGTGCTTGTACATATTAAAAATATGTACGTGAAGATAGACTCCAAACCACAAATAGCAGCTATCTCTGGGAGTAAGATTATAGGAGAAACCTTCATTTTCTACTTCATACCCTTCTCCTTTGTTGGACTCTTAAAACAAGCATTATTGCTTTTATAATTAAGAAAAAAAAGATAATTATACCTTTTTGTAATAAAAAAGCAAAGATAATTTTTATAGGGGGGAAAGCCTCATAGAAATCACGTTACAAGTGTTGTGTGCCATCAAGTTGTTTCCGACTCATAGCGACCCCAAAGAACAGAGTAAAACTGCCCCATATGGTTTCCTAGGCTGTGATCTTTACAGGAGCAGCATGGCAGATCTTTTCTCCTGAGGAGTTGATGGTGGGTTTGAAATGCTGACCTTTTGGTTAGCAGCTGAGTGCTTAACCACTGCACCACCAGGGCTCCTTATGTTACAAGTGCGCGTGGGCTAATGAAAATGGTCGGTGTCTTGGCTTTGGGCTGGAATTACATCCACCTGTAGCACAAACAGCCAAGCGCTCAACTACGAGCTGAAAGGTTGGTGTTTTGAACATCCCCAGAGGTGCCTTGGAAGACAGGCCTGGCGATCCGCTTCCCAAAGATCATACACTACCTTGAAAACCCTATGGAGCAGTTCTACTCTGCACACATGGGGTTGCCACGAGTTGGAATTGACTCAATGGCAATTAACAACAAGGTGGGAAGACCAGTTAATGACTGCTGATACGAAGCACTAGATCTAAAATCAAAGCACAGAAGTTTGATTTTTAAAATGAGAAAAATCAACAATCCCTTAATGAGACTGATTTGTAAGACCCAATCTGTCAATACATGATTAAAACAAAGGGGGAATAATTAATTGTAAAAGAGGTCCTTGGTGCCCACAGCCCAAACCTGGACTCATGATTGGCTGCTGTTGGGGGCTTCCTCCCCTGGGCACCTTACACAGCTTGAGAACCCAGCCCCTATCAGCACTGTGGCCCAACTACTCTGCCTCAAAGGGACCCTGCCGCCCTCCAGTCAGCAACTGAGGGCACCCTGCCTGCTGGAGACATTAGGAATGATGCCCCAGAACCTCTTGGCTCTTTGTCTTTCAGCTTTCTCATGCAGCCAAGCCCAGGCCCATGGAGACTCTCCCTGAGCCAATGACCATGGGAGGGGCATCACCACCCCATTTTGACCCAGGTTTGAGCATACTGTGAAACAGTGGAAACCAAAACCAAACTGAACCCATTGCTGTTGAGTCGATTCCGACTCAGTGACCCTGTGAGAAAGCTGAGTAAACGCGGCTCGTGGTTTTTAGCCTGTATCTGAATGGTATTTGAGGATGGAGAGGGTGGAGCGGCTGGGAAGGGGCTAGGAGGGCTGGAGAAGGTCACTCCAGCGAGGGATTCCGTCAGCACCCAAATGGCCAGTACTATGCCCCTCCTGAAGAATCAGCCCGGGACCTGAAAGATGCAGTTAGACACGAGTTTATTGGTGGAGCTGCTGCAGAGTCCTCCCTCTCTCTGGGATAGCCGATGGCACAGCACCAACAGAGGGATGGACAGACAGACGCCTCAAACAGACACATGGATGATGCAGACTCATACAGACCGTAGCACAACCACACAGGCACAGAGACACACAGGCCACAGCACCAAGAAACGCAGACAAAACCACAGAGCGAGAACACAGACAAAGTGCGGGCTTTGGGGCTCCTGCATAGACAGAGCGAGGCCACATGGGGATGGAGCCCCGCTGACCTCCCCCAGGCACAGGCACACCGACAGCACACAGACAGGCTGATGCCCACAGCAAGCCTGCCAGCCTGCCACAGACAGATGAACTACATGGAAAGGAGGCTCATGGCTCCCCAGACCTCAGTGGAGAAGAGACTGCGGGGCTTCTATAGCCCCACTGTACAGACCCAGGACCCCTGCTCCTGAGTGGTCCTGAACCTCGGCCTAGACTCCCTCCCCCACTCCCCACTCACACTTTGGTCTTGCCCACAGGGGCTGTGGGCTGGGGAGTTCGGGAGGAGGGAGAAAGGAAGGTGTCCGGGCCCAGCTCAGTCCCCTCTCCATGATCAGGGGGGCAGTTGCTGAGAGTCCAGGGCTGAGCCTGGGCTGGGCAGTGGGGTAGATGAGGGTGAGGCCACAGCTTAGGCTTTGGGGGGCTCCCGGCACCGTAGGCACTGGGCCATCTCGGGCCGGTACTGCTCGACCTGCAGGGTACAGCTGGAGATTCCAAACTGGGAGTAGAGCCGGGATGAGGCTTCAGCCAGGACAGCTTCAGGGTCAGCCGCTGCGTCTGTGGGGGAGTGATAAGAAGTAGCCTCAGTCCCTGGGGAGTCAGGCAACAGGCGGGGGCTGAGATAAGGACGGCTGGGACTGGGTGCCCTGTGGAGGGGGACCCCAGACTTGCACAGAATTCAATGGGGAGCTTGAGTGGAGAGCTTTATTTCCTTTTTGTAGTGTACGAACGGCGTAAAAATGTTGGAAGAGACTCCCCCCAATTAACCATGCTCACACACTAAACTGTTCTTCATTTTCTATTTTCTTCTGCTCTTGAGTATCACTATACAACTATCTGCTTCAGCAGCCATACCACCCGATGTTCCAGGACAATCCAGATGTTAAACATTTTGTCCCACCATCCCTCTACAGTTACCATCAAATAGCCCACAAATTATGATATTTTTGGCATCCAAATTGCATGTCTCTGATTGCTTCTTGCATCTGAAAGAAACTCAAAAATCCTTTGTCAGCTCATGAGTCACCATATATACTTTTAATAGTTGAATCATAATATAGATATAATTTTATATTCAGATTTTTTCTCTTAGCATGCCATAAACATTTTTCCTATTTGTCATACATTTTTCTTCTTTTTCTAAATTATATGTATTTTGTTGTTGTTGTTGAGAATATATGTGACAGTTTCTACATGTACAATTTAGTGACACTGATTTATATTCTTCGAGTCGTGCAGCCATTCTCACCCTCCTTTTATGAATTGTTCCTCTCTCATTAACATAAACTCACTGCCCCCTCAGGTTCCTATCTCATCTTTCAAGTTCTTGCTGTCAGCTTGATCTCATATAGATAGTTCTTAAAAAAGCATAATGCTCAAGACAGACATAGTTTACTAGTTAAGCTAAACTATTGTTCCATTTTAAGATGACTTCAGGGGATATTTTAGGTTTAAGGTTTAAAGATTATCTCAGGGCAATAGTTTTAGGGGTTCATCCACCCTCTATGGCTCCAGAAAGTCGAGTTCATGAGAATTTGAAATTCTGTTCTGCATTTTCCCCCTTTTGATCAGGATTCGTCTATGGAATCTTTGATTCAAATGTTCAGTAATGGCAGCCAGGTTCTTCTGGTCTCATGCCAAAGGAGGCTGTTGTTCATGGTGGCAATTAGCCACACATTCCATATCCTCCTTCTGTTCCTGGCTCTCCTTCTTCCTCCCTTGCTCCAGGTGAATAGAGACCAATTGTTGTGACTTGGATAGCTGCTTGTCCAACAGTCTTCATAATCATCATCTTAACAGTCACACAACACCTCACTGAGTGGAGGTGCCATAATTTACCTAACTGTGCCCCTGTCACTAGACCTGTAAGTATTAGTGATCTTTTAAAGGGCTGCTGGCCTACTACACTACTTCAGAGAGGGTGAAATCTCCCCCAGAACCCTGTTCAGGGCTCCTGATCTCCAACATACGTGTGTCTGTGTATGAGAGAGACAGACAGACAAACAGAGACAGATGCTGAGACAACCCTGGTAATCCAGGCTATTGGCCCATGTTGGGGGAAGAGATGCTTCCAGGAAGTAACTGGCCTGGCCAGTGTGGACTCACCAATGGCCAGGTGCGCGGAGGCAACATGGTAAGTGAGTGTAAGGGCCCACAGGTGCAGCTCATGAGTAGCCCGGACTCCTGGCACCGACAGCAGCGTGTCCCGAACAGGCTCAAACCCCACACTGCGGGGGGTACCTGTAACCAGCACCCACCATGCCTTATTGCCAGGGCTGCTCCTGTTCAGAGGCAGCCCCCTGCCAGGCTCCACATCCCTCTATCCTGTACCCGCTCCCCACTGACCCCACAATTCACCCTCTGCCTGAATCTTCCTTCCAGCAATAGGAGGCCCAATGCTGGAATGAGGCCAGAGAGCTGGCTACAGGGCCTGGGGATAGAGATCTGATTCACCTTCCATGAGGACTCGAAGAACATCTCGGAGGGTTGGAGCTGTGGATCCAAGGGCAAAGATGGAGAAGAGGAAGGTGCTGATGGGGTCAGCCGCCTTGTACTGAGGCTGTAGAGAAGGAGATCTCTAAGCCCAGGAACCAGGGGCCTTTAAGAAGAAGATCTAGGGGCATCCTGAACAAACAGGACCTGCGAAGCCACTGAGAACCCTGCTGAGGGGAAAGGGAGTGGGATCAGGGCTGGAAGTCCTGGGGAGCTGGGAGCTAGAAGGAGAGGGAGGGAGGCTGAGGGTCCTGGGAAGGAGGGGACTGGGGTCTGGAGGGGGTTGGGAGGCTGGGGCAAGCCTCCATGGATGGACGGTACCTTGAAGTAGATGAGGATGGAGGCAGCCAGTACCCCAAGGCTCTGCAGGAGGTCCCCCAGCACATGCACAAAGGCTGCCCGGACGCTGGTGTTCCCCAGGGGCAGGGGCTCCCTCGGCCCCTCCTCCAGCGGTGTATACTCTGCCCCTCTAGACCCATGGCTGTGTGGGGGCCCAGCCTGGTGCAGCACAAAGGCCATTCTGAGGGGGAAGCAGAGCAGCTGAGCCCAGGCGGCCTGCTCATGGCCTCCTCTGCCCCTACTCCCATGCCTCCTTCTCTCACCTCCCCAGGAGCCCTTCCACCTTCTCCCTCTTTTCCCAGCCACAGGAAGAAAACAGCATTGTCCAAGAGAGACAAATAATGTAGCCTGGGGGAAAGAATACTGTACTTGGTGCCAGGAGACCTGGATTCAGATCCTGACCCTGCTACTTAAATAGCTATGTGACTTGGGCAAGTCAACTGGCCACCTCTTGGGATCTTAACAGATGCCTGTTGACTCTGAACTTTAGGTCTCGACCCACTCCCTTTTCAGGCAAATCCAGGGCAGTGCAGTTGAGAACTGCTTGGACACGTTTGGGTGTGTCTGTCCGGGCGGCGGGGAGCCAGCTCTCCCATCCTGGAGCAGAACCCCTCGTCCTGAGCCCCATGCAGTGCCTGCTCCACACTGGCACGTACAGCAGATTGGCACAGACTGCGATGCTGGCGGTCAGCAGCATGGCACCCCCCTCGATGTGGTAGTCGCTGTGCAGCAGGCGGATGAAGGCCAGATACAGGAGGATGCCAGTGACCATCCAGAGGGAGACCACAGAGGCCAAGGCCCCCAGAGTCTCTGCAGGGGGAGACAAGCTGTCAGAGGCCTGCTGGGGACCCCACAAAGTACCCTCTGGCAAGACTGGAGGGCCACCGAGTCATGCAGGAGCCTTACCTGAGCGGTGCCAGCCAAAGGTCATGGTGCGGGTGGCTGGACGGGTAGAGAGCCAGAGGGAGAAGAGGCTGCCCATCATGCTGCCCACGTCCGCCAGCAGGTGGGCCGCATCGGTCATGATGGCCAGGCTGTGCGCCAAATACCCACCTGCAACGTGGTTCCATTTAGAAAATATAATGGAGTGTGTGCGTGCATGCGTGCGTGCATGTGTGCGTGTGTGTGTGTAAGCAGGGAAAATAGATTGGGAAGATATACACCAAAATGTGAACTGTGGTTGTCTCTGATGATGGGATTACAGGTAATTTCTATTATCTTCTTTTCACTCATCCACAGTTTCTAATTTTCTACAATGACATTTTATTTTAATAACAATAAATGAAGGTTTTTAAAACACCAGTTAACCTTCAGTGCTGGCCCACTGACGCTAGACCTCATCCTAAATCCCCTTGGTGTAATGTCCCTCACTCCCTCCCATATAGTGAGACATGGGGCCCCTTCAGAGCACTCAACTCCCCCATCCTAGCCATCCCCATCGTCTCTGCATCTCTACCAGGGACACTACCTGGAACCCTGGATGAAGAGTGGCTTAAGCATGTGCAGGAGGAGGGGGTTGGAGGAGCTGCTCTCCCACTTACCGACCACTTCCCCGGCCATGAAGACGCAGCACACAGCGCAGGCGGCACACAGCTGCCTCCGTGCCTGCAGTCTCTCAGGGGTGAGCCCCTGCTGTGGCATGGGGTCTCTGTGGCAGTGGTGGAAGGACATCTCCACAGGTTTGGGCTCCTCGGGGAGGGGCTCTGAGGGCTCTGTGAAGAGACTGGGGCAAGCAACACGGTTCAACACAGTTCAACCTGGGGCCTGGTCCGTGGGCTGACTTGCTGAGTAGTTAAAATAAGTGCCATCAAGGCTAAGAAGATGGAGTAGATTAATTCTGAGGAAATCAGGGAAATCACTAGAGGAGTTAACATGAGAAGGGTCTTGAAGGACGGGAAGGATTTTGATGAAGATGAGGTAACATGCCAGGGACTATGAAGGGAAAGTGGTGTAAAAGTGTGGACGGGGACTCTTAGCATATGATCCTGGCCTTAGTGTGGCTTCCCTTCCAGATCCACCTCCCAGTGCCCACTCCCAGATCCTATGCCCTCCCTGGACACAGCAGCTGGTGTTATGAAGTGTGGCCCTTCAAGAGAGGAGTGGAATGTTGGGACCCCAACAGTTTGAAGTTCCCGGCACAGAGAACTGATGGCCAGATTCCAGAGCTGAGGCTGTCATGGGGAGGGGGTGCAGACTGCTGTGCTTGGGAGTAGTAGTGACAGAAACACTGGACTTGGTGTCTGCCATGTGCTAGCTGGACCTCAGTCTGAACATAAGACCCAGCAGAGCCACCTTACCTGCACAGTGCCATAGCCTCCCTTGTTAAATGAATGGGGTGGAGCCTCACCAGGGATGCAGATACTGAGCTAAGGCTGGCTGAGTTTTAGGTCCATTCAGGCCCAATTCTCATCCCTACTACTACCCACCCTGAACCCCAGCAAGGACAGAACCTTCCACAGAATAAAGGACCCAAACAGAAAATGCAATCCTAGAAATACTCATGCAGGTGTGACAAGAATACCCATGAGTGAAAATGATGAAACATAATCACAGCAGTAAAGTGGGGAGAGGTGCCTGGGGCCTTCTGGCTGAAGAAACCTCTGCCAAGGAGGTGAATTGAGGTTTGAGGGAGGTGGGGGGACACTTGGTAGTTGTAGGGAAAATTCAAGTGCTTATAAGTAGATTAATTTTTTGAAGAATCTCAGTGTATTTAATTCCTGGTGTGTTTCCAGAGAAGATAGGGAGATGAGGGTGGTTTTGAAACCCATCGTCATTCATTCAATGAGGTGTACTGGTCAGTGTAAATGAACGAAGCCCAGTCTAGTGGGAAAGACAGATGTGTAACAAATGACACAAGGAGAAGCTAGTGCTATAAGGGTTAAGAACAAAGGACTTTGGGGCACAGGGGAGGGAGTGACCAACTCTAATGGGGTGGGGAGAATTTCACAGAGGAAGAGATGTCTAAGGGGATGCGATCTAGCTGAGAAGGGTGCTTCAGACAGATGGAATGACAGTGACAAGGTTTGGGGCTGAGTGTAAGTGTGAGGAGCCAGGGGAAGGGCTGAGGAGGAAAGGGATGGGATCAAAGGAGAATGAAGGGGGATACATTAATTGATTTAACAAATTATTTCCTGAGCCCTGAGATGACCATGCTGATATATAAGTCTGGGAGAGAGGAGACGAAGAGGCCTAGAAGAGTCCAGGCCAGAGGTTCCCTGCGTAGAGTTTTAGAGGAGGGGCAGGTAGGTAGGGAAGAATTCCTTTCAGAAAATGCGGCAGGATTTGGTGACTAATGATCATATGAGAATGAAGATGAGCTGGGAGTCAAGAGATGCGGATCTGAAGAGCAAACAGATGCTGAGTGGCCCTGGGGCAGTGGGCAAGATGCTGTCCCTGGTACTGTAAGGCTCAGCGCAGCCAGCCACCAAGGTAGCCAGCCATCAACAGGCTGCTCCCTTTTGTTCTGCATGAATTGGGCCCTAAAGCTCCTTGTTGATGTGTGTGCGGGGGTGGGGTAGGGAGGTGGGGGGAGCACTGCATTCTGTTGAGAGAGAAGGAACGGCAGTTGCCTCTCACAGGCCCTCTGGAACCCCAACAAACAACAAATGATACTGGGTGGGGAGAGGGGAGATTCAGGACGAGGGAGAAGGGCCTAAAAGCAGAGTCAAAGAGCAGGCCCAGGGCCGGAGCCCCACCAGTTGCCCATGTCTGCAGTCCACTGCAGGAAGGAGCCAGCCTCCCTCTTCTCACCCACTCCCCCCCACCCCCATCCAACTCCTGGGTCTACATCTCCGACCCAGGGAAAGAGCGAGAAACGCACAGGAGAACCACGTCAGAGACAAAGGGAGAGGGCTGAGAGAGAAACAGAAAGATAGGGAGAGATGGGGAGAGAGAAAAACTGGCGACCCTGTCGAATTCCAGAGACAAACGGACGGTCAGCCGACAGACAAAACGGCTAGCGGGAGGTGACCAAGGAGGACTGGCTCCGCGGGGCAGGACGCACCGAGCCAGCGGGCGCCGGGCGCTGGAGGGAGGCCGGGCGAGAGCGGGGGCGGTTCTCTGGCCGCCCCCGGCCCGCTGTCCCGGCCGCTCGGCGCGCTTCATTTCACACCTCGCCGCCCCCGACCCAGTCTGTGCGGAGCCGGGAATACCCACCGCCGCCCAGACCGCACCTGCTCCTTGCTGCCCGCCCCCTCGCTTCCCAGAGCGGTGAAGACCCGCCGCCGCCCAGCCAGGGCCCGTTTCAGGCCGGGAGCCCACAGCTGGCTGCGGCTGGAGGGGGCGCCCCGAGATCCGGAGCGCGGAGGGAATGGCTAGGGGCCTGCACATGGGGCTCTGGAGCCTCGGATGCGAGGTGCTCCCGCCGCCAGGCCTGAAGCAATGCGGACATCGGAGCACCGGGCACGGACTCCGGCCCGACGGAGGGGCAGCGGTTCCCAGGAATCAGACGCGGCGGGGGCGGCAGGGTAGTGGGGCAGCGCAGGGGGTTCGGAGGACGGGGTGGCGGCCGGGGGGCCGTTTCGCAGTGGCCGCTGTTCCTGGAGCCGAGAGAAAATGGGGGTGGCCGGAAGGAGGCGTAGTGGGCTGTTGAGGGGCGGGGGTCGGGCAGGCTGGGCAAAGGGGGCATCTCTGCGGCCGGAGGGGACTCAGCCGGGCGCAGCGAAGCCGAGGGAGCTGCGGGTTGCCGAGGCCGCTGGCCCCGGCCCGCGCCGAAGAAAACAACGAAATGCACCGATGGCAGGTGGGTGGCGCCCCCGGGCCGCGGGCCCCCCCAGGTCTGTCCTACCTCTTTAAACGCAGCCCGCCGGCGGCGGCGCCGCGATCCCGGGGGGTCACCAGGCGCGTGGTCTCCGAGCCCCCCGTGACGGGAGAGGGCTCCATGTCGACGCGGCCACGACCGTCTAGGCCCCGCCGAGGCAGAGAGAGGCGGGGCGGGCCCCGCGCCAAGTCCAAGAGGCCCACTGACCCCGGACTCCCCGCAGGGCCGCGAGGACAGCAGAGTGGAAGGAACTGCGGCGACTGTGGCGCTAGGAGTCCGAACTGCAGATCCCGCGGCCGCTGGAGCCCCGCCCCGCGTGGGATGGGCTTCCCAAGCCCCGCCTCCAGGCTTCCCGGCTTCTCCCCCACGCCTAAGCCCCGCCCCAGAAGCCCCATTTTTCTGGCGCAAGGGCCAGGTTGGGGCGGCGGGAGCCCGTTCTTCGGGTTCTAGAGAACGCCCTACCTCCATAGCCCCTCCCCCTCGGCGAGCTAGCTCCGCCCCCAACCCAAGCTCCGCCTACCAGTTCCAAGGCAAGCTTCTCCAGCCTAGGATCCTTTCCACCAACCTTCAGCCAAGGAACGCCGCCCCTCGCACTCCCACGCGGGGGACATCGCCTTGACACCCGCATCACCTCGTGGCCCCAGGTCCCATGCGTATTTATTGGCAATCTCGAGAGATCCAGAAAGAAAAGGTGTGCGGTGATCTGACACATCCGGGAGACCTCCAGGGACTCCAGCCAGAGGCTCCTCCGTGGAGGCTGTGGGGTCAGAATTCGCGAGCAAAACCTAATGCCAAGCACCGCTTATTATCATTTATTTTTATCCAGACATACTGGTGACAAAAACTTCCTGCTCTCTTTCAATCCATTATTCCTATTTTTCAGATGAGAAAAGTGAGGCCCAGAAGAAGTGTCCAAGTTTATGCAGCGGATAGAGTACCGAAACTGGAATCCCGTGTTCTTCCCCTCCCCGGATCAGGCGACTGAAGAGAGAACGCACGTCGCGATACGCCACGCCACCTCTCTGGGGTCACGAGCCACTGTTTATGGAAGAAGGCTGCAGTCAGCTTGTTGGCAAGTGATTCCTCACTTCTGTACCTGTAGCACTTTCCCGAGGATTACTTCATTTTGTATCCGGGGAGGCCCAGAGGAAGGAGCGACTTACTACTGCAAAGTCGGTGGCCAAGCGGGGAGTCGAAGCTTCAAATGCTCAATGCTCTTTGCCCCTCGCACCTGCTGCCACTGTAGAATTTAAAAAGGAGGGTGGGATGGGGATTGGATTGCGCACTCTAAGCTGTGACAGTCTGCGAAGAGGTGGGTCCGTAGGAGGAAGGGAGAGTGAACATGGATGTGAAAGCGTGGAGGGGTGGGAGTTATTGGTGAGTCGAGGCAAGAAACTCATCAACCGCACCCTTCAGAACACACCGGGCGACCAGAGTTTAGATCTGGGGATAGACACACCGTCCCTACCTCACATTGTTATTCCAAACAATGAGACTGCGTGTATACTTTCAAAAAACAACAAACAGAAAACAAAATACGGTAGCACGTGCCATATGGAGTGGTTGGAACTGATGGGGTTAACCTGGGAGAGCTTCGCGGAGGAGGTGAGGCTTAAATGGATTAGGCAAACTGGGTGGCTGGCTGGCTGGCTGTTTGGGCGAGGGAGACTGCAGCTCCGCCAAGGTTTGCGCGAGGCGTGAGCGAAGGGATCTTTCTGCGCGATGGAGCGGAGCGAAAGGAACGAAAGGGTCTGTGTGTGCCCTTCTCAAGGCGCCTCCGCCTCCGCCGGGCCCTGGACCCCCGCCAACCTTTTCCTCCGCGCTCCCGGAGTCCCGCCCAGAAGGGCCAGCCCAAGACCCACGCGGGCGAAGGAAGGGGTGACTTTCTCCCTTCAACCCCTTAGCGCCTAGAGGCGTGGAGCTGGAGGGGCTTCAGCTCCCTCCTCCGATCACAGGGTGGCAAACTGAGGCTGGGAGAACGGAAGCCACCGGCCAAGGTCACCTTGTTGGCCCGTGATAGACCCAGAATGGAACCCATGTCCCTGTCCACCTGGCCCGAGTACGTCCCGCCCGCGCTGTCGGTTTTCGAAGCTCGGCACCCGGCTGGGGCCTCCCCAGTTCTGAGGGCACCGGGGCTGGGACCCGGAGGAGGCATCGCGCGCTCCAGAATTCGGATGCGGGAGCCTCGCCCGAAGCGGCCTGGGCCAACGAGATTGAGAATGGGGAGAAACCGCTGGGCCCTACGAGAGGGAAGGGGCTTCTTGGCAGGCCTCAGCCGATGACGAGAACCGGGGATATGATAATAATAACAATGGCTTCCTCCCGGATTTCCCTTCCGCGGACAGCAGCCCTGGTGCCCAGGAGGGGGCGCAGACGCTGGCACGTGCCCGCCCGCCGCCCGGCGGGGCGCGAACAGGAGGGGAGGGGGGCGTTGGAGCGGATGGATGCAGGGCCGCCTCGGAAGACGAGGGCACTCGCAGTGGGAGGACCAACAGTTGCCTTCGCATGGAAATTTATGTAAGAAAATCCTGGCAACGAAACAGCCTGTTTGCACCTTTTCCTCAAAAAGCCGTCAAGTGGTCTTATGAAAATCTTTGCAAACAAACGCTCTTCTGGAATGCCAGGCCTGAGGAAGGCCTGCTGCACCTGGATAAGAGCCAAGAATTAGAAGGTCACTCAGGGCTGGTGCGCTGTGTGGAAATGTAGCTTTGCTAGAACTACTCATTCAACATTCAACTGTTCGTTGAACATTTACTGAACAGGCATCCTTGCCGTGCACCCTGCCTGCTAGCTTAGCTGAGGATTCTGGTGAACAAAACAGACGAGTTCCCTGCCCTCTCTGCTGTAACTTGATTTCAATCCATTGCTATTCTATAGTCTTTTGTTACTGACACCCACTCTCTCTTACTGCCTGTCCTGTCCTGCCTCAGGAATCAATCTTCCCTCAGGTGAGTCCTTAGGCCTTTCTTAGTCCCAAATGACTGAGGAAGGCAGGAAACCCTGCATGTTCCAGTAAGGCAGGTCAGTGCCCTTCCACAGGGCCTCGGGCAGAGCTGGCCAGGAGGGGGCTGCAGGGGACCCAGGCTAGAAGTCCATGCTGGACCGGTTCAAATTGGGAGAGAAGGAGAACTAAGCCCAGGGCTGAGGTCAGGATTTAGGCTGGGCTAGAGCTCTCAGGTGAGCTTTGGAATCCAAACATACGGGCTAGGGTTAACACTTGATGAAAGGTCCAAGCCAGGGGCCTGGGGTTTTTACCGCAATAATGCCGATTGGAGCCGCCTGCCGCAATAGCCAATTCTGAGACATGGGTAAGGTGAGCAGCAAGATGTTTATTATATACTGATATATAGGAGACGGAGGGGAATAGATTCCTCCAAAAAAACCCATCTGCCCCACTGGAGGTCGGCTGAAGTCTTTTATAGGGACAGGATTATGAATCTTTTGTGGTAGTTTCCCCTTGAGGTGGTGATGTCTTAGATGAGTTAACCTTCTACTGGTACTCTTAGAGGTTATCTGGTGACATCTTTGGAGATTATCTGGCGACATCCTGCTTTTTCTTGTCACAAGATGGGTGCTTTGTTTGGTTTTTCATTTTTAGATCATTATCACTTGTTCTCCACCCTCCAGGGAGGAACATCGGGTTAATCTTAAACCTTTTGGTAGAGACTAGAGAAACAAGATCATGAGACAATGTGGTGGTTAGCAATGGGGAGTAAATAATAATGAGCCAGGCCTGTGCAGCCTCTTCCAAGGTCAGCACAAACCCGATGACCCAACTTCTACTCCATTCTCTGCTCAGATGTCACCTCCATGAAGCCTTTCCTGACTCACCCTAGGCTGAACTGTTAGGTGCCCTCCCTGGTGCTTTCAAGGCCCACTGTGCTTACCTGATCACAGTACTCACTATGCTGTAATGAACTAGTCTGCTTGTCTGTCTCTTCACTAGAGTGCAAACTCCCTGAAGGCAGGAACTGTGTCTTTCTCATCACTTGTTCCCACATAGTGGTTGGCACATAGTCCTCAAGGAAGCCATCCCAGAAAGGAGGACCTTATTGTCAGAGTGGAAAGCAGAATGGAGGAAGTAGGATTTTAGTTGGATCTTAAAAGGATACATAGAATTTGTTGATAGAGAGGATGAGGGAGAGCTACAGCTTAAATGTCACCTCCTCAGGGAGGCCTTCCCTGATCCCCAAACTAGGTTAGTTCTCATGTTATACACTCTGGTTGCACATTACTTTTTTTCTATAGCACTTATCACACTGTAATTAAATCATTATTTGGGAATTATTTCTTCACTTGGCTTCCAGGATACTATAATCTGGTTTTCCTCCTACTTCACTGACTTCTCTTGGTTACTCTTGTCTCTTTTTTTTCTGTACTCACTCCCATGGAGGTATCATCCATCTAGTCTCAAGGCTTTAAATACTATCTAGAAACAGCAGAAAGCAATGGTGGTTGAAGGTGGGTGATGGGTAAGTGGGGGATCATTGTACTATTCTATTTTTGCATGTGTTTGAAATTTTCTATTTAAAAAGGTTTAAAAAATAAATAGCATCTGTACAATGATGATTCCCAGATCTCTCACTTTAACTCCAAACTCGTATGCCCAAATGTCAGCTTGACTTCTCCTCTTTGTCTAATAGGTATCTCAAGCTTCGAAAGTCCAAAACTGAGCTCCTGATCATCACTCCCATCCCAGACCTTCTCTTTCTGCAGCCCTCCCATGTCAGAACATGGTAACTCTATCCTTCCATTTGCTCAGGCCGAAAACCTTGGAGTCATCCTTGACTCTTCTATTTTCACCCCACGTCCAATCTGTCAGCAAATCCTGCTCCCACCCTTGTCCAAACCACCATCATCTGTCATCTTGATTATTGCAGTAGCCTCCTAGGTGGTCTCCCTGTTTCCACCCTTGTTGTCCTATAATCTATTCTCAACCAAGTAGCTAGCCAACAAAGGCAGACTTTGTCACTCCTGAGCTCAAAACCTTCCAGTGACTTCCCATCTCGCTCATGTAACAGCCAAAGTCCTTCACCCTACACATTCTGGCCCCTCTTATGTCATTTTTTTCCTTTTATTTTTTTAATTTTGAACATAAGGTTTATTCTGAGAAGTTATCCTATATGCATATAGGGAGACCATTTTGATTCCAGAAAAAGCAAATGGCTCCAAGAAGTTAGGTACAATGAGGCTTATAAAGAGAAGAGGAGGAAGAAATATAGAAGATCAACCGCTGACTAATCGTAACATGATTGATTGAACCCTGCCCTCCCCCTTTGACTGAGCTCAACTGATATCAGGTCACAAGATGGCCTCTGGCTCTCCACCCAGCCATATCTTTTGAAATTTAAATTTAATAAGCCTGGCTTCAAACCGGAAAGAAAAGATAAGCAACTATGGGTGAAAGAAAAGCTGCTGGCAGAATCAATCCTAGTTAGGAATTTCTTTACAGTGAGCATTTGGTTTCCTGGGTAAGAAAACCCCAAAATCAAAGCAGGATGTCTGCTATCAGTTTCTCTCTTTGACAGTTCTGATGCCTGAAACACTCACTTTTAGTGTTGTCCGTTTTGGCAAAGGCAGGGAGAACCCATAAACCATTGTTGTTGAGTTGATTCTGACTCATAGCAACCCTATAGGACAGAGTAGAACTGCCCCATATGGTTTCCAAGGAGCGGCGGGTAGAAGGTTGGTGGACTCGAACTGCTGACCTTTTGGTTAGCAGCCATAGCTCTTAACCACTGCACCACCAGGGCTCCAAAGGCAGGGATACTAAGTATGAAACATGCATAGCACTACTTCTCACTTCTGAGTCCATGGCAGACATCACTAATCAATTACTGGGCTGTCTCGTGCTAGGGCCAGATGTCAGCACTAAATCAGTTGCCTCAAGTCTGTTCTGACTCATGTGTTTCAAATTGAACTGTGCTTCATAGGGTTTTCCTTCTTTTTTTGTTTTAGTTTTACATGTACCATTTAGTGACATTGATTACATTCTTCGAGTTGTACAACTATTCCCACCCTCCTTTTCTGAGTTGTTCCTCCCCTACCTGCTTACCTTTTTAAACACTGCAACTTCCCCCAAACATTCTCTATCTCCATTCCCTGCTTCGTTTTTCTTCATGGCCATTATTACCATCTAACATACTATATACTTTGCTTATTTTGTTTACTGTCTCTCCTCTCCCACCAGAATATAAGCTCCATGATGGCAGAAATTTTCGTTTGCTTTGTATG